GGAGGCGCGGTCAAGGTTTCTTTTGTGCAGTACACTAAAGCCTCTTCCAACGTCACTATGTTACTGCACACTTTAATGCTTGCTACTCTTCTAATCGGGGGGATACAATTCTTCTGGGCAGGGAAGAGTCCTAGTGGCAAAAGTTTTTGCGTTGCCAACCCCTTCAGTCTGAAAAATACCTATTGATTTGCTCAGATAGAGATGTCATTCAGCCTCGGAACCCCGATGCTTTTGACTTATGGAGCTGCCAAGGATATTGAAAGTACCATGGACGGACAAAAGAACAAACAAATCTCCCTTGGAAGAAATGGTCCTAGGCATGATATCGGGAGAGAGAATTTCCTGGATAAAGGACTTCATGCTTGGTCAAATTGAGGGGCAGCGTAAAGGGGGAAGACCCTCTGCAAGATGGACTGGCACAGTGGCGGCATCAATGGGCACAAACCTGGCGCCGCAGGGCCAGGGGTGTGTCGTTCTGCGGTACAGGGGGTCGCGATGGGTCGGAGCCGAATCGAAAGCATCTAAAAATAGGAAAACCCTACAGAAGCCCCCGTAGCGTAGTGGTTCCGTGCTGGGCTGCTCACCTCAAGATTAGCCGATTTAAAACACCAGTGGCTCCCCGGGAGAAAGTCCAGGCTTTCTACCCCAGTCCAGAGTCACCGTCTTGTAAAGCCGCAAAGGCAATTCCGTCCTGTCCTGTAAGCTCGCTCGCTGTGTGTTGCAATCCATTCGATGGCACTGAGTTTGGTTAGAGGAATCCCTGAAGGAGCCTGGTGGCGTAGTGGGTTACACATTCGACCATTAACCGCTTTTGATTTTGCATTGGGGTACTCGATCAGGTCCCTAAAATCGTACTTTCTTCTAAGTTCAAGACGATTTTTCTAAAACTAGCTCGCTCTTCTTTTGGAACCAGATTCTGCAGCAAGCTCAAGGATCGGGAGCAAAATAGTTGGAGGGAGGGGCACCCACCGGCTGCACACCCGGCACAAACAAGCTACCAGGGAGCATCGCCCCCCGCCCCCCGCCCCCCTCCCCCAATAGCATGATCCCATTTCTACCTTACAAATCTGGC